CTGCTGGAGACCTCTCCAATGTGTTGAAAAGCAACTATGTCATTCTGGAGACTAAGGCATACCTGATTCAGGCCACGGTCTTCGCAGTTACTTGCTATGCATCAGAGAGCTGGATAGTGACTAGGGTTGACAAAAGAATTGATGCCTTTGAGTTGTGGTGCTGGAGAAGAGTATTGAACGTACCACTGACTGCCAGGAGAACAAACAGGTTTATCCTAGAGAGGGTGAAACCAGCCTGCTACTTGGAGGCAAGGATTTTGATGCTCTGTCTCACATACTTTGGGCTTTTGCCGAGGAGAGACCAGTCCCTAGAGAAGGGCATTATGCATAAAAGGGTGGAGGGATAACAAAAAAAGAGGAAGACCTGGATGAGATGGATTGACTCAGTGACTGGGGTTAATAGGGGTAAGTGTGTCAAAAACAGTGAGACTAGCTCAGAACAGAGTAGGGTTCAGAGCTATTATAAGGGGTCGCTATGAGTCTCAGGCAATTGGATGGAACACAGCAACAACAACAAAGGATAGGGCAAGTGGTAAGAAGCTCCTCTGTAACCACAAAGGAGCATGGTTTGAATCTACCAGCTACTCCACAGAAAAAGGATAGACAATCTCTTCCCAAGCCTCTGAAAATCCACTGGAGGGTGAGCTATGTATGACTTGGTTCCAACTCAATGGGACACAACAACAAATGATAGGGCAAAGTTCATATCTATTTTTTGTTTGTATGGTCGCTCTGAGTAGTGGTCAAATTGGTAGCACCTAACAACGGCAACTCCACGCAGGTCTGGTGGTGCAGTCTATATGTATATGGCACTGCTAACCAGAAGGCCACCTGTCTGCTGTGGTTCAAGTCTATCAGTCACTCGGAGGAAGAAATTTGAGCAATCTCTTTCCATTAAGATCTCCACTCTCAGGAATTTGATGGAGGGTCACTAACTATGAGTTAAAATCGACTAGAGGGCAGAGACTTTTTGTTGGGTAACAGCAAACACGAGCATTGGAACAGAATTGTGCTCACAGGGTTTTCAAGGTTTCTGGAAGCAGATTGTCAGGCCCTCCTTTCAAAGTACCTTTAGAAAGGTTCAAAATACCAACCTTTAGTTCATGAAATACTTAACCACTTGTGCTACCCAGAGACTCTTGTCTAAGGGCATATATAAAAACATTTTAATATCCTTACATTTTATAGAATCCTATCTAAAAGTATAAAGACATACAGGAAAAGCTCATCAATATGCACTGATGAATATGATATGATGAAATGAAATAGATGCTAGAATATAATGATGAAATGTGATACACGCTAATATAAAGATCAGGAAAAACTTGATCAAAGCTACTTTTAAGATGAAAACTGCAAAGTCAAATGTTTCAGCCAAAACCAAGAGCATATGAAAAAGTCTGCAGAAATGTCAGTTTTGACAGGACAAGCCCAAGCACATCAACTCATCTGTCTGGAAGACTGCATGTGGTAACATTGCTGAGCAGGCGTCAGCAGGCCTTCCAGAAGACAGAAGGAAGGCTTGATGATGTATTTCTAAATTCAGCCCATGAAAACTCTAGGTTACTTGTCTACTGGAAGACAACTAACAACAAGAGCAGCACTTAAGGACTGAAGGTCAGGGTTGGAGTAAGAGAAGAATGAAGTGAGCTGATAGAAAAAATAAATGGCTATAGAGAAAATGCAGGTATCTGGGATATGAAGAGTCTTCATATCTTGAAATTAAGAAGTGTAGACTTTAACCTAATAATAACAGAAGGTCTCCAAAAAGTTTTATGCATGGAAGCAATGTGATGAGAAGGGTCACATAGTTCAAACTTAAGAGGCTGGCTCTGTGCTAACTCTAACCAGTTGGTGACCAATTTCTGAATGGTTCAAAAAGCCCAGTGGTTCAGGCAGACAGTGCTGGTCACCTGAACCACTGTTGATCTCTTTTCTTCCTTCTGGTAAAGCTCATCCATCCTTAGACCTAAAGAATAAAACATTGACTGGTAGAAGACAACATTAATTTCCTTGCTAGTTTCTGTCACAGGCAAAAGAAATCCCACAGTCCTGAGCAATAATTTTATGAATAATCTGGGAGGCTAAAAAAAGTGTGAGGGAAAAGTAAGGATTGTGACCAGCAGAAAAGAGATCTGAAGTAAGACATTTAAAATAAAGACACTAGATACAATAAGGTTCTTTAATCCTAAAAGTGGCTGTAATGTTCAAAGCAAAAAAATACCATATAATTACTTTCCTTTTTTGAAAAGGAGGAGGTATGAAAAATTACATATTATAATTAGATTTAAAATATTTACTATCTAGTCTTTTCCTCCCTTAAAATTTAACTAGGAGCCATATAAATTCCAATGTTAAAAAATTGCTAATTCTTTTTTTTTTCATTTAGGTTATTTTTCATTTCAGTGAACATCTACAGAGATTTTGGGATTCCATTCATTCATTGTTGCACCCTTCTCCCCGCGCTAATTCTTTTATATAACTGAATAAAAATGATTACTCTTTAAAATCTGTATGCTGAACAGAAAACAAAGCAAAATAAAATATTCCATATATTCTACTGAAGAATATATTTAATAATATTAAAAATCCAACTCACTGTAGTGGTTTTCTTTTTGAGTCAAAAAACTAAACCATAGTTCATCTACCTGCAGAAAACGGAAACAAGATCCACATCTCACAATATACACAAAAACCAACTCAAGGTGGATCAGAGACCGAGAGGTAAAGACCCAAATTGTAAGGATCCTAGGAGACAAAGTGGGATAAAATTTAGAAGCCCTAGCCTATGGCATAAATAGGCTTGCAAGTATAACAGAAATGTACAACTAGGAGAGGACAAAAATCGATGGATGTGACTTTGTAAAAATTAAGTCCCTGTGTACATCAAAAACTCTTTCCAACAAGAAGGAAAAAATAAAAATAATCTATAGACAGGAGGGAAAACCTTTGTCAATGACATCTGAGACAAGGGTCTCATAATGAAAATTTACAAAATACCACAAGATCTCCACAAGAAAAAGGCTGATAACCCAATCACAAAATGGGCAAAAGACATGAAAGATTCTTCCCAGAGGAAGACATTCCAATAGCCAACAGACATGAAAAAATGCTCAAAACCACTGGCAATGAGAGAGATGCAAATCAAAACGACAAGATACCATCTCAGCCTAGTAGCAGTAGCAAAGCTTAACAGGACAGCAAGGAATATATGTGGAGAGACTAAAACTTTCATGTATTGCTGTTGGGATTATAAAATGGTACAATCACTCTGGAAGTTTAGCATTTCCTCAAAAAAGGTGAACACAGCAAGAGGGTGCCATCCGTGATGTTGAGCTCCTTCTCTCAGCTGTTGAACCTGGCCCGGCTTCCAAGCAGCCTTTCAGCGAGGTCCAAGTTTTACCTTCATGAACCATGAAATAGCAAACCTAATTGGGTGAAAGTTGGACTGACCTTGGGCGCTTAAGCCTTCTTGTGGGGCTATCTAATCAAACAACATAATGAAGATGTTTTAGAGTATAAACAAAGAAATGGATTGGTGTAAACTACTGAAATATAGTTCCATACAGAGATTACATCAGTTCCTCTGGACTCTGTAATCTTTTGATTGTAAATGAGAAAGAAAAGAGTTGTATGTGGTTATAGATTGTAATTTTGTGTGTGTTATATTATTAAATGAACAAATAAAAATACTTAAAAAAAAAAAGAAAAGTGAACACAGAAATCTCCTATGACCTAGCCACTGCGCTGTTAGGAATATACCTTAAGGGAATTAGAACTAAGACATGAATAGAGATATATTCATAGCAGTGTTATTCACGATAGCAAGAAAATAGAAACAGCCCAAATGCCCATCAAAAGAATTAGATTTAGAAATTGTTGTCATTCACATTGCAATACTATGCAGCACTAAAAAAGAATTTTGTAAAATACTATGTAATATGGGAGAGTCTAGAAAGCATAATGCTGAGTGAACTCAGTCTCATAAGGACAAATACTGCTTAAGACCATTATGATAAAAATAGAAAGATAGGACCCTTTAGAAGGACAGGACCCATTCAATGAAGATGGTGCCAAAAGTGAAGAGGGAAACCTCTGTCCCTCCCAAAACTGAAACCAAAGCAAAGGCATTAAAGGCCAAGAAGGCAGTCCTGAAGGGCGTCCACAGCCACAAAAAAAGGAAGATCCACACCTAAACCACCTTCCAGAGGCCTAAGACACTGACACTCTGAAGACAGCCCAGTTACCCCAGTAGAGTGCCTCCTGGAGAAATTAGCTTGACCACTGTGCCATCATTAAGTTTCCCCTGATCACTGAGTCAGCCATGAAGAAGACAGATGATAACAGTATGTTTGTGTTCATTGTGGATGTCAAGGCTAATAAGCTCCAAATCAAACAAACTGTAAGAAACCTCTATGACACTAAGGTGGCCAAGCTCAACAGTCTTGAATAGCCCTGATGGAGAAAAGAAGGCCTATGTTCCACTTGCTCCTGACTGTGATGCGTTGGATGAAACCATGTTGCCAATTCTAAATATAAATTCTTCTCAAAAAAAAAAAAAAAGGAAAACTAGTAAGATGTATACAAAAGTCCAAAAGGGGAAGGGTGGAAATCACTAGGATAGCAGTGTTTAGCAGGTGGACTGGGGGTGTGTGTGTGAAGGAATAGGAAAGATTCAATGAGAATTTGAAAAGGCAGGGTAATAATAGGCATAGATCAACAGTAATTAAATTTTAGAAACTATAATGTGTATGAATGATTGTATGAAACAATGAATGTGAATGGATGAAACACAAGATAAATGCATTATTGTACGAAAATCCATTTTAAAAAAAAAGTCACAGCTGACCCTCCAATGTGTGTCTGAGGCCGCAAATTGCATCAGAGGAGACTGCTCATCCTTCTCCCTCGGAGCAATTGGTGGATTCCGACAGACAGACTAGGCCACTAGAGTTCTCTGTTTAATAAAAGCACCCTCAAAATAGTACAGTAGTCAATACCTAGCGCCAGGATGATTTGTTGACGATTGGTTCTGCATGAGAAGTTTTCTTTTCTCTTTGTCCAATTCAGCCAAGATTGCAACTCTATTTTTATTTTGAAAACCTAAGAGAGAGAGGTAGAAAGAACACTTTAGAGCTATTTTAAAAGCCTAGGCCATTTATAATCCAGATAGGAAAATTGTGTATTTGCTAGCATGACAATGAACTCCATGCAAATGTAGTTTCCCTTGATGGTTATGATGCTCTTACTGTGCATTTTTCAGCAACCTTAACAGGGTAGACTAACTTAAGCTGCATAATACATAGTAACAAATGCAAAGCCTACTACTGACTAAGGACTTTCAAGGTTTAGTTCTAAAGAATTTTAATCAGCAAGATACAGACAATGGCATTTCTTTCTTTAGTAACAAAACCCCCTCTGTATCTCTAAATGCTGAAGGGATGGGTCTCTGCCCTAGAGTCACTCTGGGAGAGCAGGTTTCCTTAACTCTCAGTCTCAGGTCTCTAAGAGTAAGGGCTTCTTCCACGGAGCAAAAAACATTAGATACATTCAGATTTTAGAAATACACTTCTTTCTTCTTCTCAATTGATTTCATTTAGCAATGACTCGCAATCTTTCAAAAAATAAGTCAAAGACTTCCGCTGAAAAGAATTTCAATTATGAGTTAAAAAGGAGCATACCCGGCAGGATGCAAAGAAATGTGCTCTCCTTCACGAAATGTTTACTGCCAGGCTTGATCATGAGCTTCACGCTTGCCTAAGATCTAAAGCACTGGTCACATCCCAAACTCATAACTAAAGTAGCTTCCATTTTTTTAAATCCTAATTTAGATCCCACTGCATAAATTTTGACAGACTGTAGAAAAAATTCTCAGATTTCTAGATTCTCTGGAAGTACCACAAGATCTGGTAATTATTGCCCCCTAATAATAATTAGTTTGAAGAAATAGATTTCCAGGGAGCTCTGGTGGCCTAGTGGCAACAAGTTGCACTGCAATCCCAGAGGTGCACGGTTCAAATCCACCAGATGCTCTCCTGGAGAAGGAGGGGCAATCTACTCCTGTACCAGTCAGATCTGATTTGATGGTATACACACACAAAAAAGAATAAAATTTAAAAAAAGAAAAAGAAATAGACTTCCCCTGAAAATGGACACTGGATCCAGTGTCAACAGATTTTACTGGTTTGTTATTTAAAGGTATTTGAGTTTCTCATCCTAACTTAGGAGACAAGGTAGTGCAGGGGTTTAGCATTCAGCAGCTAACTGAAAAGTTAACGGTCTAAACCCACTAGTCAAGATGTAGTGTCTATTTCTAAAGATTAGTGTTTCTGAAACCTTATCATGCAATTCTACTCCGTCATATAGGGTCGCATGAGTTGCAACTGGCTCAATGGAAACAAGATGTTTAGAAGAAAACACATTTTTTCTAAAACAAATGTGTTTTAGAAGAAAACAAATGGAATGAAGGACTCAAAAGCAACTGTTGTTGTTGCTGTGTACTGTTGGGTTGGAACTGACTCATAGCTGACCCTCCAGAGGGTTTTCAGAGGCAGTTAATCATAAAGAAAGAGACTGCCCATTCTCCTACCGAGCAGCTGGCGAATTCAGTTCTACAGGCCTTTAGGACGGCAGTGAAGTTTCTTTTCCTCTTTTTTTGCTTTAAAAGAAATAATTTATTACCCATAAAAAGTTGTTTGTTGTTGTTGTTACGTGCCGTCGAGTCGCTTGCGAAGTCAACTAGATTAAATATAGAACTCCAAAGGTCTAGGTACAATCACAGTAAAGGCAGGTAAGAATCTCAGGTTGTGTTTTTCCCCCACTGTACAAAAGACTATATACATGCCTTAGGAGCCTGCTTTGTGTCCTCTTTGGGGTTTTGTTTTGATTTTTTACCCCCCATTTTCCTGATGTGTTATTTTGTTGTTGCTGAAAACAAATCCGCTTCCGGGAATAGTGCTGCCAGTGCAGAATCTGCTGTTCATCAATAAATTTTGCACACTGACACTCACCTGCTCCTTTCAGAAGTGTTCATACTGGAGCAGTTCAAACATATGTAAACAATGGGGGGACCTTGTTCAGGTACCTCGGAAACACCTTCCCTGTGAGTACTCCTTTCTGTGTTGTTTAATTTTCAGCCTACAGTTATTTCTTGTATTTATAGGCTGGAGTTTCTTTACATACTTGGCATGTTCTGGTTCTTTCCAGTAAATAAGTATTTAAGATAATTAACAAAAGCTCTGTCTTTGAAGTAACCTCTTTAGGCAAGAAAATTAAGGTAATTTGTTTTTGCTAAACACTGCACAAATTCCAACTCCAGTTGAAACCAAAGTCGATTTCTTGCATCATCTGTTTCCACAGCGACAGCAGCAGCCATAAGCTGCAGCGCAGTTTCTTACCACTAGGCCACCAGAGCTCCCTCAAAAAGCCAACTACTGGGGCAGGGGGTGGAGAGAAGGAAAGATTGAGAGGATTATAGTCAACAGGATAATAATGAAGAGAAAGGATGACATAGAAAAGATTTAGTAATATCAGCATTAAACTGGACTAGTACTAGAATTATCTTTTAGGATTCTGCCATCATAATAACCAGCAACAACCACACCTTCCTTTTACCATCAACCCTATATAGAACAGTTTAGTTTTCAAAACTATCAGTAGTTCTATTAAAGCCATCAGAGTTCTATGATAAACACAAATGCCAAACTAACTGTAAAGCAGGGAAGAGAAATCAAGGTTGGAATATCTTACTGTTAAAAAGCAAAGTTGGGGTGTTTTTTTTTTAGGGGGTGGTTTCAGGCCCAGGGTAGGGTTAAAAAAGATTAAGGAGTTAGCTAAGGTTCAAATTATACTTGGCTAACATTTTTAAAAGATACTTAATATGTTGTTGCTGTTGTTGTTATGTGCTGTCGAGTCGCTTGTAACTCATAGCGACCCTATGTACAACAGCCCTAAACTTTGCTCTGTTCTGTGCCAATCGCACCGTCTC